CAAGAGGTGTTTTTTTTGTTTTTTTTCGTTGTTGTTATTAATCCGATTTTCTCTCAAGGACTAAATGACTAACTCTCAGCTCTAGATGCTGATTACCCTGGAGGAGGCTGGTCTAGATTGCACAGTCAGGGCTGAGTTGAGACACGCTCTAACTGTGCGCAAGGTTTGGTTGAATATCGTACAGCAATTAGGGCTTGGCACTAGCAGAAGTGGCAGTTATACAAATAAAGTGTATCCATGAGGAATACGTTCAGCTTTGAGGAAGAGAAAACCCAACCATAGTGGCTTAAACAAGTGTGGGGCTTATGATTCCTCACAACAAGGAGTCTGAATATAGGCAGTCCAGCGCTGATGCAGTAACCCAAGAGTGTCCCCGAGGAATCAGGCTCTGTGCTTTTGCCTGCTCCACCATTCTTTTTTTTTTTTTTTTTAAGATTTTATTTATTTATTTGACAGAGAGACACAGTGAGAGAGGGAACACAAGCAGGGGGAGTGGAAGAGAGAGAAGCAGGCTTCCCGCCGAGCAGGGAGCCCGATGCGGGGCTCAATCAAGGACCCTGGGATCATGACCTGAGCCGAAGGCAGACGCTTAACGACTGAGCCACCCAGGTGCCCCAACCATTCTTTTTTTTTTTTTTAATATTTTATTTATTTATCTGACAGAGTGAGAGAGAGAGCATAAGCAGGGGAAGCGGCAGGCAAAGGGAGAAGCAGGCTCCCTACTGAGCAGGGAGCCTGATGTGGGGCTTGATCCCAGGACTCCAGGATCATGACCTAAGCTGAAAGCAGACACTTAACTGACTGGTCCCCCGCCGGGCACTCCCCTGGTCCACTATTCTTAACATGTGCCTTTTGCCCTTTGGTGAAAGGACAGCTGCAAACTCAGCAGATACCATGTCCCAGCTTCCAGCAAGAAAAGAGCAAAGGACAAAACTTTCTCCTCAGGAGGATTTGCTTCCCCCTCCTCCCACCCCCACCCCCCCGAATAGAAAACCCTTCCCAGGCATTTCTCACTACAATTCCCTGGTCAGAACTGGATCTCATGACCACCCTAACTAAAGGGGAGGCTGAGAATTCAAATACGTAAGCTTTGCAGTCTCCAAAGGAAAGGACATCAAAGGAGAAATTGGATGAAATGGGTGCGAAGTGATCTAACCCTTAGAAGAGAACCTAACCCACATTTACACACACACACATATTTTTAAAAATTAATTCACGCAGCAACACTTTTTCCACTGAAGCAGCTTAGGGAGAAAATGTTTTGGTGCAGTCCTGGGTGGGGGTGCTTGACGGGGCTTAATATCACCAGCACTGAAAGTAATAAATGTTATCCCTCTTTTCTATCATGAATATGAATGACGCTCTGAAGGCTGAAAGCAACCTAGGAATTTACGTGAGAAATGAGGCATGAAACATTTTTTGAAAATATATTAGTCCAAAGTCTATATTACTGCATATTTTATACCCTTTTCAATATGCTACAAAAGGTCTGAGCCATCAACTGAATGCTGCCAGAAAAGAACAAATAAGACCAAGGATACAAAAATAAATGCTGGGAGTCAAATGGTCGGTATAATGATCACAGTACCGGGCAGATAGCTTTGCTTCAAACTCTCCCCATCGGCACTTGTCCTGCAAGGTGGGTTCTCCAGCAAGTTTATCCCAGGCCAAGCAGTCAGAAATATTCATGGAACTAAATCGGTATTGGAGAGAGAATTCCATAAACGCTTCCCGCCCCCACCTCCTGCCCCTTGGTTCCTTGTACTTTCTTCTATGCCTGAAATCTGTCCTCTTATTTTCAGAACATGAAGGAAACATGTCTAGTTGAGGGGTTCCTGATTGGGAATTCAGTTAATGTTTAAATTTTGTATTATGAATGTTTTTATTGTCCAAAGTATATTTTTGCAGGCATAGTCCTGTGATAATTACTATGAATATATTTTACGTCCGATGAACTTTATCCCATGTTAATGATATTCAGTAAAATGGCCAGCCATATGAAAATGTGTGCCCTGTTAAGATACTATTCATTATTTTAATCCTTTCTACTTTTACATGATTTTAAAAAGTTCTACAATGAATATGTATCATTCTCACAATAGGAAACAAAAACCAGCTTCGGTTTTTCCATGAGGCTATTGTCTTCCCAGACCAGACATGAGCCAAGTTTGGGCTTGTAAAGTGAAATTTCATGAGGCATCATGTCTGTAGTCGAGTGCCCATCAATCAGCTGTCTGGATGCCATAGAGTCTCTTGGTTCATGTACTTAGCATCATCATTTCACTCATAAAAATACCTATTCCTAGCCCCAGACATGGTGATTCAGTTGGACAGGGGTGAGGCTCAGAAGTCTGCACTTTTAACAAGTACCTGCATTCTTTTTTTTTTTTTTTTGAGAGAGATTGAGAGCACGCATGGGCGAGGTGGGGGCAGAGGGAGAGAATCCTCAGCAGACTCCACCCCCAGCAAGGAGCCCCATGCAGGGCTCGATCTCATGACCCTGAGGTCATGACCTAAGCCCAAGTCAAGAGTCGGGTGCCCCCAAGTCCCCTTATTCTGATACAGACAGTCCCCAGGCCACAGTGGAGAAACACTGCTCTGAGAAGTCATTTGCTCACTTGATGAGAGGCCAGTCTATGCCAAGGTCCATTCTTACAGCCCCCACTGATAAGCCAGTCTGCCCCCTCACACCAGAGCACGGTGCCCTCTCTGCCCTACCTTTCAAAGAGTAAACTCTTTTTACTTTTTCTCAGTCACAAGGAGTTAACAGGTTAATAGTTTGCATAACACTTAATAATACTTCACAAAAGTATTCTGTCATACAGGAAAAGTGTTTTTTTAATATATTTTTAAAGATTTTGTTTATTTATTTAAGAGAGAGCAAAAGCAAGAGAGAGCACAGAGGGAGAGAGAGAAGCAGACTTGCCGTTGAAAGGAGAGCCTGATGAGGGGCTCGATCCCAGGACCCTGAGATCATGACCTGAGCTGAAGGCAGATGCTTAACTGACTGAGCCACCCAGGCGCCCCAGAGTGTTTCTTAATTAGTTAAATTCAACTGTATGCCCACCATGAATAAGAAGAGAGATATTAGGGGTGCCTGGGTGGCTTAAGTGGCTCACTTGTTAAGCGTCTGCCTTCGGTTCAGGTCAAGGTCCCAGGGTCCTGGGATTGAGCTCCGCATTGGGCTCCCTGCTCCGCGGGAGGCCTGTTTCTCCCTCTCCCACTCCCCCTGCTTGTGTTCCCTCTCTTGCTGTGTCTCTCTCTGTCAAATAAATAAATAAAATCTTAAAAAAAAAAAGAGAGAGATATTAAAGATAGATGAGACCAACCTCTACTCCCAAATGAAGATTTCTAGATTAGATATCTCCTGCTTTCTGTCACTGCTTATGAATTCCCTCAACTGATCTTTAGTGATAAACTACACAGTACAAGTGAGCGGTTACTATTCTAGAAGGATCATTTCTTAGCCAATGAAAATGCCAGAAGGATTGGGGTAGCAAAGATTTACCTTTAACCCTCCTACAAAGTTTTTACATCATTTTCTTCATTCTCAGAGATGGTTCTATTTTTTTACTAAAAACCTAAAGAAGGACTTCTCTTGGCACCACACATGTCTGGGGAGCTCTCACTGTAAATCGGTCTTCATTTACTTCCTGGCCATCAGACACTGTTTACTTAGATACTATATCTAAGGTTTCATCTAAATTTAGGAGAATGAGACTGCAGATTTCAGAAATAATCTGCCAGCCGTGCTTGTGAAAGTGTCGTAAAGCCCTTGCAAAGAGTAAAAGGAGGAGGAAAGGGAAGGAGGAGAGAAAAGAGGAGCCTCAGGGAGGACCACAATTAAATCTTTTTAAGCATCTCCTAAATGCCAGCCATGCAGCAAAATGCTTTAAAATAGAGTACCTCTTTCAATCCTCCTGACAGTCAGGAAAGAAAGGTTCTTTATAGACTGACTTTACAGATCATGAAAACTGAGGCAGAGAGAGATTAGTAAATTGCCCCAAATCACAGAATTACTAAGGGCCAAACTAGGATTCAGAGCTCTGTTTCCAGAACTCTCCACCATGCACTGCAGGAGATTTCGCCGGTTGAAGGCACTCAGGCAATGTGGTGCAGCCCCCTCGGGAGCTCACTACTATTACTCTGGCAGCACCAAACCGCCAGGAGAAACCGTGGCTGATCACAAGTTACAGTCCACTGTCCAATCCATCGGAAGGCCTCTGACAGCCTCAGAAATCAGGCTGGATTTAGGAATGTGAACTTCCTTTCCTCACCAAATCAGCCCCTCACAATTCAGATGCTGTATCCTGTCTTCCAATTGATCAGTCTACCACATCGAGGAAGGCCAGTTCTAAATTTCCTAATAAAACTATCAGAATGATGAAAGAGAAGATGATGGGCTGTCAGAAAAATATCAAAAATCAGTATGATGCTTGAGTTGGCCCAACTGGCTCATATACTGTTTTTCATTACAAGGTGAATAGCAACTATTTGGCTGTTAATTAATGTTATGTTATTATTATGAGGGAGGCCCAAGGTTCAGACATTCTTAATTGCCTGAACTCCTGGGCTAATTAATGCAATTTATAAGGGATATGTCAGGAATAACAGTATATGTTTTTATATCAAACGTAAAAACATGAGGGATGTGCCCCTCACTGAAGGTTGCCAGATAGTTCTAAGCACTTAACATAGGTCTTGTCAGAGAAAATCCCAGTATATTAATTTAACAGGCTCAGAGTTACTTATCAAAAGGCTGTAAGGCATAATGTTTTGCATAATCAAAATGGTTTATTAACTCAAGTCATCATTTGATTTTTTCATTTATATTCCAATTCACAGAGATACAAGCATATCAATTACAAAAACAACCTGTAATACCTAAATACAAAATAGCTACAAGGCTAAGTATTGTACACTGCGTCTAGAATATTACAGAGCTCAATAACAAGATGATTTTCACAAAACACACGCCAAGTGTTGATTATTCACATTACCTGACAGGAAATGCCTGGTGGTTTTTTTCCTTGAAAAGTATGTATGTTATTACTCAAAAAAAAATCATCTTCATTTAGATCTATGAAAAGAGATAAATGTTATATGTAGATTATCAGAAATTACAGGATTTAAGAAGTTTAAGTGCAATTTAATACTCATTATACTTTTCATTAATCTATTAAGGTACTATATTGCCCAGATCATAAATCTTTTTCTTAAAGATATGTTATTCTCACAAGAAACACATCAAAATAAAATACAAATTTAACAAAGTAAAAATGAAGAATGCCACTGGCCACCTGAGTATCTGAGCAAGCCACAGAACCTCTCTGGGACTCAGTTTCCCTGTCAGTAATAAAAGAGTAGCATACAACCTACTAAAGCCCTGTCTAACTCCAAAATGCTATGATTCCACGAAGTTATTACCTCACCTGATTCTGTTAAACTAGGCTTTCCACCCCTGGCATTTTGAGTTTCATTAGCTTATAGATGTCTTCTCAACATGGATTATTTTGTTGAAATTGTTCCATGCACACTTTAGTAAAGGGCTTGCAATGTGGCATCCATTTGCTTGCAGCTACATGAAACCTTTCAAAAAGTAGTAGCATTTCCCTATCAGGCACTGGAAAAGGGGCCTCCCTTTATTTAAATCTGAAATGCACCTGTGCTAAAAGAGGACAGAACTTTAGGGTTCCCTTAATCCAAGCCCCTTAGTACCCGAAGAGGATACTGCGACCGCAGAAATCACTCCCTTCACCTTCATGCTTTACTTGCAATCACTGCTTCTGTTTCCTGCTATTCCTCATTCTCAGATTCCACGGGGTGGGGGGGGGGGGGGGGTCGAGGGAGTAGGCAAGGCCTACCCTCCACGCACAGTAAAAAACGGAGGCAGGTTCTCCTCCAAAGCCCCATCTTAGCAATAATGAAAAGATAGTTTAAATTCACAGCTCAGTCTCAGAGTTATGTATATAGTTAACAGTATTTAAAATCAGAATAACTACACAAGATTCCAGAAAATACTTAAATGTTATTATAAGCTGGTTTTGTGATATGACTCTTTGAAACCAGATCTTCCATTACAGCATCAGGATGCAAGAAGCGGTTTGGGCAACGTTTTTCTTTTCCTTTTTTTTTTTTTAAGTCTTTGTATTTAGAAAAAAAAATTTCTGTCTTCTCTTCCTTCATTTCTTTTCATCTCTTCCCTTTAGATTCCTTTAACATGAATTTTTGGAGAAACTCACTCTATAGTTATCCTTCTGGATAGAGGAAAAGAACAATAGAGTGGTCACCTGTATTCTCGAATCTGGAAGCAGCTGAGGCATACGCACAACACACTTACATCACTTAAATAGCGACGCAAAGTAGTAAAATGAGTGATTCAGATGCTGCTCTGGGGAGAGATCATTATGAGTCAGGCTACTCCTGGAAGAGGTAGGACCCCAATGGTAGCTTGAAGAGTGGGTGTAGTTTGGAAAGGCAGAAGAAAAGGAAAAATTACAACTATAGCAGCAGTGTGACGACCACTAGCCTCTGGTGTGGAATAAGTGGAACGCACTTAAGTATAGAGACTGAAATTGGTCAAGTGACAGGCAATTCTGAATATAGCATAGGAGGAGATAGGGCTGGAAGGGTAGATAAAGTGAAATTTTAAAGAACCTTGAGTGCCAGGTGGAGGAATTTGGACATAACCTGCTAGACCGATGTTGCAAATATAAATATATCTGCAGAAGTCAAATAAGGAACTTAACTAAATGAGGTGAATTTTGTCAGGGAGATAATGAAAGATCTGTGGTGAGCTGAAGGGTCACCACTGCTAAAGGGCGGCCATTGCTCTCTGCTTTCCCAACCAAAATCACTTCAGACTTTGAACCCAGGATTGTCGGTTTCCCTCATGTTTTTCAAGAGAGAATAAATATGGGCGCCTGGGTGGCTCAGTTGGTTAAGTGACTGCCTTCAGCTCAGGTCATGATCCTGGAGTCCCGGGATCAAGTCCCGCGTCGGGCTCCCTGCTCGGCAGGGAGTCTGCTTCTCCCTCTGACCCTCCTCCCTCTCATGCTCTCTGTCTCTCATTCTCTCTCTCTCAAATAAATAAATAAAATCTTAAAAAAAAAAAGAGAGAGAATAAATATATGGATCTTGATGTAAAATTTCCTGATTTTTAAAATATAGTATGGTTTAAAGAAGCTTTTTTCATAATAAATTCAGTTACAGAGTTACCAGTATGTGGCCTCTGCTGTAGAAAAAGGAGGACCTTCAAGGGTCTTGAACTAAGGAAGAAGCATTAGAAAAATGCTATTTTATAAGGATTAGCTGTTTGTTTTGTGGTCTTATACATTTTTATTTATTTGCACTCTCCCAAATATTGCCTTATAAGAGAATATTTATAAAAACAGAAGCAATCTGGGCGCCTGGGTGGCTCAGATGGTTAAGCGTCTGCCTTCGGCTCAGGTCATGATCCCAGGGTCCTGGGATCGAGTCCCACATCGGGCTTCCGGCTCAGCGGGGAGCCTGCTTCTCCCTCTGACCCTTGCCCCTCTCATGCTGTTTCTCTCTCGCTCTCTAAAAAATGAATAAAATCTTTAAAAAAACAAAAAACAAAAAACAAAAAACAGAAGCAATCTGGTCCTAAGTAGCAACAAAGTTGCAATAGTTGAATTAGGCAATATGCAGTTGTACTATCCATAGATGGCCACAGAAATCTCTCTCACATCACATGTTCTGCAATGTGAATTTGGCACACCTCCCTCAAGAATTAGAGTTCAATTCTCCTCTTATTGAACTGAGCTGATCTTAGTAACTCACTTGTCACAGGACAATGCAGTGGAAATGATGCTTTGTGACCCCCCAAAACTAGGTCAGAAGAAGCCTTGCAGCTTCTGCCTTGTTCATTTGAGATGCTACCTTTCCAGACACTTCCTCCCAGGATGTGTGAAGCTCCCTCTCATATCTCCTTCCCTCTTGCAACCCAGTCCTTGCTGGGTTGGGGGGGGCGGGTGGCGGCTTAAGTCACTTGGAGAGGCTACATATTGGAAGTCTCCACCAAGCCCAGCCTGCAAGTTATCCCAGAACAGGTGCCAAATATATAAGTGGAATGGTCTCTCTAGATGATTCAAGCCACCAAATATTTAAGTCCTCTCCAGTCCTTCAAGTCCTCCCAGAAGAAGCCTCAGATACCATGAAGCACTGCCTTGAATGAATTCCACAAAATCCATGAGCCTAATAAAATGTTTGATGCCGTTAAAATTTGGGGTGGTTTGTTTGCAGCAACAAGATTATCAGAACATGCACAAACTATAAACTACGTGAGTCACAAACAACAGTGTACGTAGGAATGCACCATTCAACATAAACATTCAGACTCCAACTGCCCCTCAAACGCAGATGTGGGGAAGAAATGAGATCAGGTAAAAAAGCAATTATTTCTAATCAGGTTTTAGGTGATTCTAATGAAGATACTCCTGACCATACTCAGGTAACTATAATCCTAGGAAGAACTCCCCTAAAGAACTGAAGAGAGACTCATTTGTCCAAAACACTAGGATGCTGAGTGTTCTCATCACTCGATTCAGAAAGCCCTCCTTGGAAGCAAGAGGCCTGCTCACAGGAGCCTTTGCTCAGGGAGTTTAGTCCCACATGATAAGCAGGTGTTCAGGTGTGCAATAGGGCTTCTCTCTGTCACTCCTCACGTGAGCCAGTCTAACCAGAGTTAAATTACATGGTCTTGGGAAACAATTTTTAAATTAGATGGTGGTCCCTGAAAATTAAACAAAATAGTAAATACATTTGTGACTTTATATATTTGCCATCCTGAAAGTGAGGGTATCAAGCCAAAAAAGAAAGAGAATTAATAAGGTCTGCCTGAATATTTATATGCTTACTCTGAAGAGGCTGGCCAAGTAATAATATTGACTAGAATTCAGGAAAGAAGGTTTCAAACCAATGGCAATTCAAATGTGAAACTGGAAGGCCCTAATAACATCCCTCCTATAATAGGATTTTTGATAATGAATCTCATCAAAATCATATGTAAGGAGTATTTATTTTTAAAATAATTTGAAAGCAGTGTGGGTGAAATTAATATTCCCTTCAGTGCTAACCATGTTTCTTGTTCTAACAGGCCAATTATTATTATTATTATTTTTTTTATTTTTTTTGCCTATTTTCTGTTTTATGGAATAGTCTGTCATAGTCACACTGTTTGAAAAATCTCTAAATATGTTTTGTTTCCTTTTTACTATTTTTAAAAAAAATTTGCTTTGCTTTTATTCTTTGTACTTTATGACATAAAATATAAAAACCTTGTTCGTGATACTACCTTTACTTAAATCAAAACTTGATCTTAGGTAAACTCCAATTCACAGATTTTAAAGTTTGTTCTTTTCCGGCTTAATTTAGTTTCTTCATAAAATTAAGGCCAAAATCAATTTTAAAATTTTAAATAAATTTAAATAAATTTTAAATAAATTTAAAAAAATTTAAGTAAATTTATTTACTCTAATGAATATTATGAATATTCTGCCTGTTTATGATGCTGAAACTACAATGAATGTGAATTACAGATTCATTTTCCTCGATACCTCAGCTACGCCAGGGCTTTAGTCGTAAGATCCTGAGCACTAATTTATCCTGCATTTACTTTACAGATGTAGTCTCTTTTAGCAGCACAGATGAAGGTTTCGATAAAGCTCTTCTTAGAAGAAGGAAATCGGCTAGATAAACTAAAAATATTATGCTTCTGGCACTCAATGTATTCTGATAAATTTTGTCTTAACTGACATAACACAGTCATATTATTGAGCTACGTGAATATTGTTATGATTCAAACACCAGGAAAAATCCTTGCTAAACATAACCCATGGATGTTTCTTTCATTGGGCCCCAATACTCTTTAGGCCTGAAACGCTGTTGATATGTGTCATGCACAAATACCATTTTGAAATTGAGAGAAATGGCTTTTTTTTGTTGTTTTTTCTTGGAGTTTGTAACAGATTCCTTAGGAGTTAGTGCCACTCCTACCATTTAATTCCCTGTATATTTTCTTCTATTTTTATTGAGGCTGTCTTTAAAATTTCATCATACATGTTCAATAAAATAATGGGCTCTGGCCATGGCGATGAGGCACCTTCCGGTTTTCCTCTCCCTAAACTTGACAGACTGCCTATCCTCAGACACAGTAAACCTCTCTTAAGTAATTATGCAATTAACAGTTGAAAAGTAGTGTTTAAAAATGAGAAAGAAATATTATGGGTTGATGGGTAGGGCACTAATTGCCTAGAAATACTCTGAGCTTTCCAAGTGAAGCTCCTTCACCCATAAAATTCAAGTCCACAACCTGTGGCCCTCCCTCCCCCACTGAATTTCTCCCTTCAGTTTACAGTGGCACGGCTGTGGTGTCGGGCCATCAGCTCTTCCTCTCACAGCATGAATCCCTAGGAAACGTCCTGTGACTCTGCTGCTACGGTTGAAATGTCAGCTGAAATTTTAGACACACACACACACACACACACACACACACACGAATATACGGTAGCTCAAGATTCAGAAGTAACCAAAGCTGAGAAGGTTTCTGTAAAGGCTTGCTTTTTTCTTCTCTGATAAAGAGCACATCACTAATCAGAAATACCCCACCATAAGCCAAGATTTTTTTGGCTATGACAGAATTACCTGCCTATGACTCCTAAATTAAAAAAAAAAAAAAATCAGAGAAAGGCAGTTTTAGCAGATTGAATTTTTGAAGAAACTTATGACAAAATTTATAACTAAAAATAATCTATAGTACAATGATAACTTCTTGATCCATCGATCAATATACAATAATCTAAAAATCACATGTGTTTATTAAAGGGACAGAGGATGGATTATGTAGATGAATGTTTGACTAATCTATAGAAAGTGTGAATGAACATAGCCGGCATCCATAATGTAAAGATACAGTCCAATCAAACCATGATCTTATTAAGACATTTCCCATGTTGTGATTAAAAGAAAATATCTGAATCCCAAAATGTTTCACTATTAAAAAATTCAGTTAAAAATTATTCCCGCAAATGTTACATCATCTTGAATAAAATTGAAATATTTCAAAATAAATTATTTTCATAAATAATTACTTAGTAAATCTAAGGGCACTCTTAAATAAAAGGTAAAATCTGGACAGAATATATAATCAAATCACTAAACTCATGATAAATATGCATGATAATTCCCTTTGTCCCAAGATACTAAAAAATGTCTTTAATTAAAAACTAGAAACTCTTAAATAATCAATAACTAACATAACCAATTATTTCTTGTTCCAGTAACATTAGAGGGAGAATACCAAGCAGATCAACTTTTTATGCTGTTGTTCATCTTTGTGAACTCTGAAGACTTTTTGTTTTATTCATTACCTTCCCCAAGTTAAATAATTTTAATTTTGAAGTCATTTATCATTAATAAATTTTTCTACACCTAGCTGCTCATTTTCTCTTCTTGGGAATTTTTAAATTATGAAATGATACAATTTTGTATTAATAATCAAGGTTACTCTTCTATATTTTTAGGGAAAACAAATGCTTTAACAACTGTTAATATATTGATGTTATTTAGAGAATTTTTCTATGTGCTGATTTTTAATACATTTAAAAAAATTCTTATAGACATCAAAGACTTTCAAATATTATTGGCAATTAATTCTTTGCTTCCACAGTCAACCTAATTAGATTTGACTTCCTTTCTATATGTCTGTATGTATCTAGGCACACCTGGACACACTATTAATAACATATACTTCCTATTCTAGTTGTCTTTCCTTTTTAAAGTAGACCACAATGCCCTGCTTATTTTAATAGGGAAAGATGTAAATTTTTCTTACCTACCCTTTAAACTACTTTCAGAAAATGTGAAGTCAGCTGAACTGAATTTAGCAATTACCTTTTAGCTGACAGAGTCTTCTGATGTGGGAATCATTCTCAGGCTTGCAGGGTTCCGGCCAGATTGTGTCATTCATTGTTTTTCTTTCTAAAATAAAGCAGAAGATTGGTTAGCAGAATTCACAGTAACATCTGTCCAGTAACTGTAAGAAATTTGAAATCAAAACAAGATCAGCACACAGTTGTAACTTGGTTAAGTGACAGGAAAGCTCTGTGGTCCATCCTGGAGAGTTCTACTGCCTGACGGACAATCCCAAGTGTCCTGCGGGCCCCCATTTATTTCCATAAACTACATAAGCACCCAAGCATATGTGGTAGGATGCTACTATTGAAATACCTGTTGATGGTTTGTGATTACATTATTCTTGGAAGGATTTTTTCCTGAATTAACATTTATGTTTTTATGCTTAGTTCAAGTGTCCCCACCCTCCACATTCCTCATCATTTGTAACAAAATGATCAAGTGTGTGGAGAGAACACTAGCTGTGATGGTTTTAAGAAACTCTCAAGTCTTGAGTGGAAGAACGATGACTTACTTGGTCTTGTCCTCCCACCACCTAGAGCAGGGCCTCGACGTGCGGTGAAGAACTGAACTGTGCTAACATGAAGAATTAGAATCGCTTCTCATCTCCTCACCAAAGATGATCATTCCACATGTCATGTCATCGTACTGATCAAGCAAATGTGAGATAATGCACCCAAAGCATCACATGGAAACAAAGTCAGCACGCCTGTGCTGTTTTTAAAGACACTATTTACTCTCATATTTGACTACAGGAAGGCAGTCGAGCATCAAGAATCATGTTAGGATGGAAATCTCTATAGCCTTGTGTTTACAAATTGCATAGCAGGTTATGAGAATAAATCTAGATGGAAAATAAAATTTTGCCTTACTTCCTTATATTTAAGACTATACATTATTTAAATCAGGGCTAATATTCAAACTATTTAACAACTAGTTGCCCACAGGGCCTTGATTAGTGAGACAGGACACAACTCTGGATGCTGCCACCTGAAGAATATCAGACCTGATTAAAATGCAGACACCCTTGGAAGATGCATCCATTGATGATCATCACCTTGGTCTGAATGAGCTTTTCAGATCTACCCAGGAGACTGGTTTTTGAAAAGACAGGGGAAGGAGTTTGAGCATCCAACTCCTAGACTCTACTGGGCAGAAAGGGCACTCACAAGTTTAACAAACCTCATTAAAAATAAATTATTGCCTGGGCGCCTGGGTGGCTCAGTCAGTTAAGCAAGCATCTGCCATCAGCTCAGGTCATGATCTCGGGATCCTGGGATCAAGCCCCACATCGGGCTCCCTGCTCAGCGGGGAGTCTGCTTCTCCCTCTCCCTATGCCCCTCCCCCCCCAACTTGTGCTCTCTCTCAAATAAATAAATAAAATGTTTTAAAAAATAAAGTATTGCCTGAATAATCCAGATTTTTTAAAGAGATTTTATTTATTTATTTGAGAGAGAGAGTCAGAGATAGCAACAGAGAGCATGAGTGGGGAGGAGAGGGAGAAGCAGGCTCCCCGCTGAACAGGAAGCCCGACGCAGGACTCGATCCCAGGACACTGGGATCATGACTCTAGCTGAAGGCAGATGCTCAACCAACTGAGCCACCCAGGCGCCCCTAATCCAGATGTTTTGCCACTGCGACTATTTTATAATTAGTGACACTATATTCTGTAAGAGAAGGAGAGATGTTATCCGTTAGCTTTCTAAAAGTGATTAATAGAATGAGATGTTTACTTCAGAATTAAAATACAAATCAAGCCAATGGCCTTTATTATAACTACAGAAACTGTAATCACAGAAACTACAGAAAAGTTCTGGTTTTTGAAATGCTGTGGAAGAGTCTTTTGTAACACATTTTTTATTTCTTTTTATTCACTCCTAGATTCATATACCTGAAAAGATACAGAAGAGGTCACCTTGACCATGGCCAGCCAAGCTAACATTGGGAAGCCGGAAGATAATCAGCCAATAAACCATCAAAGAGAATTATATTTTTAATGTAAAAGGAAATTATTCTGAATAAATCAACGATTTCTTTGTCTTAGCCATTTATAGTTAGAATGGAACCACCTTCCTTTTTAAAAAATTTCTTCTATAGAATTCAAAGACAACTCAATCTGACTTTCATTAATCAATTATTGTTGCTGTATGGAAGTGGCAGAAGAAAAGAAGTTTTAGAGAAACAGAACAGATTATCTGCATGAGTAATCTTCTAAATTACTAACCAAATCCTTTGTTTTCAGACATAGATCTCTGGATTGACCTAGAAGAATAAAAGAAACAGATATTTAAGTCTACATCTAGTAAATAGTATTTTTCATCAAACAGAAATTAGATTACCTAGACATGCTTGCAATATGTTTGAGAGCAGAAATATATTCTACCTCTAACTAAGGTCTATATATAGCCCTGAATTTTCCTGACCCTAGATGGCAAAGAACAGTTAATATAAGTATAATCTTGGCCTGGAAATTTCCATGCAATTTGCAGAAATTTCCATGCAACATTCATAAAACCCACACACACAAAAAGTGGGCCATTTTTACATGACTGTATCTCAAGATAATCAATATAGTTGATGTGGACAAGCTCTTTTTGAAATAATTCCATTCAATAAATACAGAAAGAATGATTGAATATAATCATGTACAATCCCCAGTGAAATGATAGATCTGGGCAGTAATCAACAATTGCTATTAAAACTTTTCATTGAAAGGCTGAAGGGCAACTTTGTGCTGGATGGATCAGTCTGATACCATCTGAACCCACTAAGCAAGTTCACAGTCATAAAACTACAGACAACCAGATATATGAGTTCCAAAGTAATGCAACAGGAAGCTTACAGTCACTGATGACCTACTTTTAAAATATATACACATGTATCAAACTTGAACATTATCAAGCCCTGAGATCTAACTAAAAAATTTACAGGAAACATAGGGGATAGAAGAACATGTTTTTTTTAAAAAAATACTACAATGATGCAATCAGCAAAATTCAAAAATATGGAAAATTCCTCAGAACAAACAATCCAGTTTCTTCAACAAATCAATGGAGAAGGACCTATGAATTAAGAGACACGAACTGAATGCATTGCAATGATCCTGTCTGGATCATGATTCAAATTAACTATTTTTTATTTATTTATTTATTTATTTATTTATTTATTTATTTATTTATTTATTTATTTGAGACAGAGAGAATGAGATACAGAGAGCATGAGAGGGAGGAGGGTCAGAGGGAGAAGCAGACTCCCTGCCGAGCAGGGAGCCCGATGCGGGACTCGATCCCGGGACTCCAGGATCATGACCTGAGCCGAAGGCAGTCGCTTAACCAACTGAGCCACCCAGGCGCCCCAAACTATTAAAAAAAGCCCTTGAGGCTCTCAGAAAAATTTTAACAGTGACTATATATTTGGCCATATTATACAATTTTTCTTATTTTGTTCTAGTGCAGTGTGGCACTGTGGTTATGTTTTTTTTTTTTAAATACAGTACTTACTGTATAGCAATATATATCAAAAAATGAATTATGTGTCTGGGATCTGCTCTAAAAAAATAGTGAGGGTTGGAGGGCTGGGAAGTCAAATAGGTAGAAATGAAATAAGATTGACTATAGGTTGACACTTGTTCAAGCTTGGTGATGTGAATTCATCATTATCTCCTCATTTGTGTATAATTGAAAATTTCCATAATAAAATGTCCAAAACAGAAACAGAGGATAAGACTACACTGACTCGATCGTGTTAATTACTTTATGCACTGGGTGAACACACGCGTGTCCTGTACATATAATTAACTTTGTGGTAGCTTGATTGTTTCCCACTATTTATATTCTTGGTAGTCATTAAATTAATGCCAAGTTCACCTTTCCTTAGGTTCAGGGTTGTAAGAAAAAAATCTGTATATATAATTTTTGTCTTTACCATTTTATTATTATTTTTTAAATTTGTCAATGCAAACACTTAGGACACCTCTTGGCAAAGAGTAAGTGTTCCCAAACAGCTATTTATAGTATTATAAGGTGAGGTAGGTGCAGAACAGCATTGAGATGTTATTCCCTTCAGGGGAGTGGTAGACAAGAGAATTAAGGAACTCGAGAGTCTTCAATTTTATTTTAATTGGTCATAATTAGAGGAGCACATTCACTGATTTTGAAAAATCCTAATTCAGTCAGCATCAGGTACTTTCCCTCTCATCCATTCCCCTCTGCCTCTCCATGTTTTGGTGTCCTCTGATCTATAGAAGCATCAATCATAAGCCAGTAGCTGTCATTTCATTTAAGTATTTTATTTAGAATTCCTTATCTGTGGATGTAATGAACAGCTAATAGGCAGCTCAGTTTTTCCCACTGAGATGAGCCCTGCCAAAAAACCCCTTCTTTACGCCTGTTCAGGCTTAAAATGCCACTGTTGTAGTTTAAATAGTTAACTCTGGCTAAAAGACAACAACCCTTGTCTGCCAGTGCTCTAAGCTGTTAATCATCCAATCACCTACTTCCTATGAGTGTGTTTTATATCCTTACTGGGAGAAAGCTTTGAGCAGGAAAGGAAGGAACGTACATGAAAGCACAGAATGCCTCGGGGGCAGGAGAGCAAAGCTGTCCAGAAAGACTCCACCCAGAAAGAATTTCACAGATTAATAGTTTGGTCTCAGACCACTCCAGAGTGCAAGGAAGCTATTCCGTATCATCAGCATCCAATCTGGAAATTTCCCCATAAACCAACTTCCGGCCCCTATGTATTTCCTGCTTATTAGTTAAAAGCCCATTACCTTATGCAACACATGTGTGCCACATCTTCCGGCAGCTTGATGTGCTGAATGTAAAGCCAAGCCTGACCTAAATAACCCAAATCTCTTTACAAACACATTTTTATTTGGATTAGAAGAACCCTTCGGAAGATTAATAGGTCACTGAGAGAAGCATGTTTTCGAGTAGGCTCCCACTTTAATGAGCCTAGTTTGAACACGTTTCTTCTTTGGAAATTTAATTTTCACCTCCCTGTGGACAGAAATGTCACAACACAGGTTTCCTATGCATCAGCATAAACAGATAAATGGTAGCAGAGTAAAACATACCTAGATTTGTACATGACAATTTTTTAAAAAGCTCTTTGACAGGAAAACCACTAAAATATTCCATTCAACATTATAGAACTAACAGAACATAAAGTTTTCAAAGTAAACTTGACTTACTTTCTTTTTGGTTGTGCATTCTCAAAATTAGGAACTTCCTGAAAAATAAAATACAAAATACAAAATAAAATAATACTACTCGAAGAAATCAGAAGAATTCAAGTATGGTTTGTCTTCGAGGATAATCCAAAAGTAGTTCATTTTGCCTTTTCCCAGTAAAATGACTGGTGTTTCCTCCCTGTATTTCAGTACTATGTCATAGAATCTCAGTTCAAGTTTGTTTATTTGTTTCTTTCTTTCTCTTTTTGTCTTTGTAACTTTGAGAGATGTAGAGTTCTTCCTTTATTAACCAGGGCTTATACCTTATTCTAAGCCCTGGTCAGTCAATAAGGCAAGTCTTTTAAATAAAAACATGCAATTAAATCCTCATAACCTCAAGTTTCCATTCCCCATCAACCCACCAACAGAGATACGCACTAGAGTATGCTAATTATATCACATAGTACTTTCCTTTGAGAAAATTTAATCTATCACAATATCCTGAGTATGTTGAAATACACCTGTGATTCATCTGGCCTTTCTCTTCAGAGCAACTGAATGTTGTGTAAAATCCCTTACACTTTTCGGGGAAGACTACGTCGCCACATCTTTCACCATCCTTGAAAGAGCTAAAACTGCTCCTAGGCACCTTTAAGAACCCTTCAGATTTTCTTGTTATCATCCATCTTCTCCTTCATTCAAAACCATTTATGTTTTTGATGTTCAAAGTGCTTTTTGAACATCTACTATATCATAGGCAACAGACCATGTTGTAGAGAGGTTTGATTGGTGTGGTAGGAATTTGTATAGTAAAGAATATTGGAACCAGTATTCCACATAGGGGGAAAACAGAAATGTGAAAGTGGGGAAGAGTAGTAAATGAAAATCAGAAAAAGGAAAATTGGTTTTATTATTCCAATGGCTGATAGTATCCGTCTGAGCACTGCCAAATCCAGGATAACTTGTCCCCTGGAGAGTAACTGAAAAGACTCTTTCTCTAACCCTTATTGTGTTTCTGTCAGGATTTAACTCTCAAGGACAATTTAAATTACCTATTTCAAGCTGCTGAGTAGAGTGTCACTGAAAATTCCAGATGCTGAAACACTCCATCCCTGAACTTGAGGAACAGGTTTTGCCAAGTTAAAATGCCTGGGGATCACCTGAAGGACAATGTCTAATAGGAAACAGGTAGGAGTAGGGGTAGATACTTGGGAATCAGGAACCAAACCCTGAGGTGAGGTGGGATATCAACAGACCTTTGAGGAGCTAATGGTCACACTGACCACTCCTTCAATTCTCTATGCTTTGTCATCATGTGTCCTAAAAAATAATTCATCTCTATCCATGGTCTTTTTATGAAATTCCCTCAGTGTTGGTCTGGATGGCTCCACACCTCAGCCTGGAAGCCAACTGTGTTCGTTCACCACCATCAGCAATCACACCAGCACTATGAAGGGTCATCAAGAAAGAGGATGGCCATCCATCTTTCTAGTAACACTTTCCTGTCACATATATTTGGAATTTAGCTGGGAAGGAGCAAGTTCCATGTTCACATAATCCATAAAATCTGGGCCAAATATGTCTCAATAATTAGAATCCACTGTTTTGAGTCTAATGAATTGTATGGATTTAGATAAATTTCTTTGGACTGCAAATCTCAGTCCTCAAAATAGTTTCCACCTGTTTTGACTACAGAGAAAGAGGTGTGTAGTCTAGAGTTAACCAATCCAAAAGGTCGACTTGCAATAAGAAAGATGAGACACATTAGATATCTTTTGTATTTTTAATCATGAAAGTCACAATACTTTTGAATTAACTTATTCTATCAGTAATTCATTATTTTGGTTTTTGTTTTACACGGGAAAGTTTATTTTGTGCTGCATGACAAATGCTACCAAAGAGATTAATTCCAGAGTACTCACACAACTTGTGTGCAACAGAGCTCTAAGTGTTTGAGCCTGGGACAGGGGGTGTATTATTCAAGAACGGTCTCCTGCTTCACTTGGGTGAAGCCTTTGACTAATAAGCTAATACAAGCAGGTATTGAGCCCACGCAAAACTGGTCAAATATGTGTGGCTGCTGATCATGGTTAAGAGGTACAGTTAGCTCTGGGCTGAGGTAAGGAGACATCTGGATTAAGACTGAAGGAATTTCATAAGACCAGGGATAGAGATTGGTTATTTTTAGGGCATATATTGGCACAACATTTTCTAGGGACTATCTACTTTGTTCTGTTTTACTGGAATCCGGGTTATCCAATTTTTACTTATGAATCACTTTGGTTTAGGAATTTTTTGTTGAAGAGTTTTTTTGTAATGGATACATTGAAAAAGATTTTGAGGGGTGCCTAGCTAGCTTAGTAGGAAGAGTATTGATCTCGGGGTTCTAAGTTCGAGCTCTGTGTTGGGTGTGGAGATTACTTAAATAAATAAAACTTTTAAAAAAAAGAAAAAAGAAAAAGATTTTGGGTTAAAACTTCTTTTAATCCCTAATAAGATATAAGATGTAATGTAGTTTTCCTTCAGCAACCTGCTTCCTGCAAGATGGCAGAGAGAGTCAAACACATTAAATGTGTGTCTGAAGTATGATTATATGGGGGAAGGGGATTACTCAAACAGGGCAACATCTACTTAATTAATAGTACATCTGTTCCCTGGGTGTTGCCTAGTTGTAGATTACTATTGAATTGGTTAAGCAATTTTTAGTACTGCTTGTACCAGACTCAAAGCAGCTGCTTTCCTTTCTGACTTCTGCTTACATAAGCAGACTGCTATGTATTCAGAGTTCAGACCCTGTATTCCTAGAGGGGCAAGTCAAGGAAAGACTAGATACAGCTTTATTTTTAGAGCTACATCTGTGTGTGTGTGTGTGTGTGTGTGTGTATGTGTTACTCTGAACTCCAAAAAGAAGACACCATTTCAGAGAGTCAATGAAATGATTCTGTCTAGTCCATTAATTTGACACTTGCCATAAATACCAGACAAAACTTGCTCCTGTTAGCCTTCATTTCATTATCCCCTAAATCAAGCACCAATCATTAGTCTTACCTTTCATTCACTAGGGAGTTTGTGGCTTAATTTAATTTTTACCCCTGGCAATTGTTAGGAAAATAAAAAATGAAATGTAGGCAAATTATTACAAATGGGCCAGCAGAAACTAAAGAATACGTCCAACATGTGTTATTATTCAAGTAGATGAGAGTAGGCTCTAGGAGTAACATTTTCACATAACTATGCAACAAGGTCGTATTAGGTCAAATGAAAAAAAAATTCAAAATGAATAAAGAGAAGAAGCCACTTAAGAGAAATTTTGGATACCTAATGCCATATTTCTATTCTCATGCAGTGGTTATGGTTGGCTGTCCTTTGGGGTTGAGTCTAATATGTGTCTGTTTCTTGCTTTATTGGTTTTTAAATCTTACTTTTTTTTTACAAAAAATATTTTTTAAAGATTTTATTTATTTATTTGACAGAGAGAGACACAGCAAGAGAGAGAGAGCACAAGCAGGGGAAGTGGGAGAGGGAGAAGCAGGCTTCCCACTGGGCAGGGAGCCCAATGTGGGGCTCGATCCCAGGACCCTGGGATCATGACCTGAGCCGAAGGCAGGCGCTTAATGACTGAGCCACCCAGGCGCCCCTTAAATCTTACTTTCAAATCACAAAGTCAAAAAGGAAAAATGAAGTGAATATGTCAGGGATTGTTGTTGCCTAACTAGTGGAAATGTGAAACGTGTTTCTGCACCAGAGAAAACTGATTGGCAGTAAATGATGGTGTAAATCCCATGGTGGACTTTTAAGACTGTAGAGATCTGACCTCTGATTCGCAGATGAGTAAACTGAGATCCCAAACGGTAAATTAACTTGTCTAGAGTCGTGCATATAGTGCTCTACTTTGATTAAATGTTAGTCATGCTTTCATTCTAATATTATCTTTTGGAATTGTGTAATTCGTTCATTCATACATTCACAGTTTATTCAACAAATATTTATTGAGCATGTACTATGTATCAGACACTGTTTTAGATGCAAAGAAGAATTATAAGTGGTCCTCTCAAATATTCAACCATCAGTGACTACTGATTTCAGGATCCTGTTGGAGTCTATGATTTTCTTAAAATCTTCATAAAATCCTTACACGATGCCAAACACATTGAAGATACTTATAGATGTTATTTCTCATTAAAGTCATTATTAGTTACATTGAATTCTAATATTGAAGCAAGAGTTGAACATAATACAAATACACACACACATATGTATACACATAACTTCTCATTAAAATAAGTTAACCCAATTTCTATTGTCCGACTCATTCTCTTGAGAGAATGAGGATGATTCACTTACATAACTGAAATGGTTTTACTAATATTAAAATACAGCAATTCCAAGAATGCCACATCCAAACTTAATGAGCCTGTTTCCAGACATTTCTTAGGTTCCTGTGCTTCAGTAAAGTTCCCACAGATGTTCAAAAAAGACATGGAAATTAATGGAAGTTCCTTTTTAAAAAAATCCTTAGAGACATCTGGCAAAGATGATTATAATGCTCCAAAGTTAATAAAATAGTTTTGCACCTAAAGCCACAAGAGAGAGTGTGTACACACACACACACACACACAGGCATACACATGAGCTATCAGCTCTGTTGTCAAAACACAGAGGAGGTTGGTGTGACTGAATTACAAACCATCACCCATGGGAAGGGGTCCTACTCCCCAATTTACAGATGAGTAAACCGAGGCACAGAGCAGTCGAGATTCTTGCCTAAGGTCACATAATTAGTATGTGGTAAGACTGGTATTTTATGCCTGATGTCTTAGCCAGGACACAATACTACTTCTATACTTGACTGCACAGCTGCAGAATCTACCTGTCATTTAGATCAGAGATCTCACAAATGAGCACTATTGGCCAGAGGGAGAGTGGCCATAAAAAAGCCGAGGAAATATAATGTTATTTCCCACTATTAAACAAAGAACTCAGAAAGTACACCCTTATCAAAGCACTAATATGAATAATTTAGTATTATTTGAAGACAAGTGCATAGACAGCACACTGA